TAGGGAAACATACATCCATGCTTGGTCCAACTGTAGGGAAACATACATCCATGCTTGGTCCAACTGTAGGGAAACATACATACATGCTTGGTCCAACTGTAGGGAAACATACATCAATGCTTGGTCCAACTGTAGGGAAACATGCATCCATGCTTGGTCCAACTGTAGGGAAACATACATCCATGCTTGATCCAACTGTAGGGAAACATACATCAATGCTTGGTCCAACTGTAGGGAAACATACATCCATGCTTGGTCCAACTGTAGGGAAATATACATCAATGCTTGGTCCAACTGTAGGGAAACATACATCAATGCTTGGTCCAACTGTAGGGAAAGAGACATCCATGCTTGGTCCAACTGTAGGGAAACATACATCCATGCTTGATCCAACTGTAGGGAAACATACATCCATGCTTGGTCCATCTGTAGGGAAACATACATCCATGCTTGGTCCATCTGTAGGGAAATATACATCCATGCTTGGTCCAACTGTAGGGAAACATACATCCATGCTTGATCCAACTGTAGGGAAACATACATCCATGCTTGGTCCATCTGTAGGGAAACATACATCAATGCTTGGTCCAGTGATAGGGAAGCATACATCCATGCTTGGTCCAACTGCAAAGAAAGAGAATCTGCCTTGCTTCCAACTGGTTCCATGTCAATTTTAACATTATTCAAGGGTAACATCCATTTTGGAAACAAAACCATAGTTTAAGCGTGGCAACCGAGCACATCAACCCCTTGGCTACCGAACTGGCCCTTCAGTACACATTATGCGTTAACAGTGTATAAATAAACGTCAACATCCTGCGAGACAGAAGACATAATTCACATCCATACAGACATAACAAAACTGTTCACTCCCTCCGTTTTGTGACTCATGTTCCCGAAGTAAACAATTCTATCTGGCAAATAAGAACATTTAAAAATAATGTAAACAAAGAATTTATGAATTTAAATGTGCTTTGGGTGAGGTTCTTTTTAATGTTTTTTGATCTCATGTATTTACGTAGCCGCCCTAAATTTTTACATTATGTGTGTGCGTGTTAGATTTTCTCTAGAAGCCAATTATATTTCTTTCCTAGGGAAAAAAATAGGATGTTTGGTCGAGCTCAGTGTCTTAGAGGTGGTGTTTGTCTAATGTCAAAATTTAAAAACTGTAGTGCGATGCTTGTACTATCAACCACTAGGTTTGTCTTCCTCCGGACAGGACCTGCTGAGAGATCCGGGAAAGGCGACTAACGGGATCGGGTGGTCAGGCTTGCTGACTTGGTTAACACATTTCATCGTATCCCAATTGTGTAGATCGATGCTCATGCTGTTGATCACTGGATTGTCTGGTCCAGACTCAATTACTTACAGCCATATAGCTGGAATGTTGCTGAGTGCGGCGTAAACCTAAACTCACCCACTCACTCCTTCGGACAGATTATTTCATCTTTCAGTCAGTGGGCCTGTGGGTACTCAAGTTCTATTCCCAGCTCCCTGGGGAGAGTACAACAAGACAACAATCAGTGCTGCAGCCAGATTGCGTAATTGCAGAATTCCCACTGATTGTACTTACCTTGGCGCTGTATTTATACATGTTTGCGCCAACAATGGCGCAAATGTTTAAGTTATAATGCGTTTTTATATATCGGGCACGTAATTAATTTCAAAAGATGACTATTTTCATTGAAAGCGATGTCAAACATTCAGAAATAAAAATAAAATATTGAAACTTCTGGGATTCAAAACTAGGCTTACTGCACATTGCTAGTAGGTCTATTTGCATACGAAACTGTAATATGAATTGCTGCTTGTTTCGCTGTACGGTGCTCTTCTTGATGTACAGAGTTTATCATCGAATCTTTTTGGCTGTCAAAATGTAAAAGAGAAGAGCAGAGCAACTGACACATCAGAGAGGTACAAAACATATTTTCATAAATTCATTGATTTAGGTATCTTCACATTTGTTTAAGAGAGATATGGTACTTGGAATAAAGGATGTACGGGCTCTCTTAGTTTTCACAATTGGAACTTTGTAGCTGCGGCCTGAAGGGAGGAGGTTGTATTCCGAATTTAAGTAGTGAGTACAGTCAGATATGATTTTGACAGCTTGATTCACGATTTGCCGCTCATATATTGATGATAAACATTCAAATTTGACTCCAGCGATTTTACTTGCAGTGTTAACAATTTTGTCTATTTTAGATTTGAGATGAACTGAGAGAGACCCGTACCAACAATGGAAGGAAAATGTTAAAATACTCTGAATAAATGCTGCATAAAAAGATGACATCACAGATGGGTTAACATTAAAAGATCTCAGTTTACACATGAGATGAAGATCTTGTTGACACTTGTTGTATAGAGCTTCAGTGTTAGAGTTCCAGTTCAGCTTAGAGCAATATTCAGTTATGTCTAAAGTTTAGTATGATGAGTAGTCATTACACCCTTCCTTCAATTATTTCTATTTAATGATATTCAATCATCTTTTTAAGTTTATGATATTTCTTCTGGTGAACATTTGGTTGGTTCCAGTTCATGACAACATTCTAGAATACACAATATATGTTTTTTTCCCATTTCTTTGAAAACTACTTTTGTTAATGTTTTTTTAAAAATTGTTTGTCTCGGTGACATATGAATTGATAAAGTGACAAAGGTTTGAATATTCACAATTTAGTTTTATTGGTATTTGTAATGTTTTAGTATTTGCCAGTTTTTATGAATATCATAGAAAGTAGTCAAATGTAACGGGTTATATTTGGGATTACACTTTTCAGGGATTTATCTTGAGTCCTGTATTTGAGGGTCCCTGGAACTCATGCTCTTAATTTTCAGGGGTCCTGGACAACAAAATGGGTGTCCCAGACACTTAAATATTATTATTAATACTGTTATTGTATTGTGTATCATGATCATCTCATTGTTACAGTAATTAAATTGCAAATAATACCATAACCCAGCTAGTAGCAAACTAAGTAATAACTTATTGTCACTTGATTGGAATTTTTACAAAAAGTATTTCGACTTTTTCTGAGTACCTGTGGATGCGCTAATAAATTTCGTTGCATCCACTGTCAATTTTTATGTGTATAGGACGCAGGAATTTGCGTCCTGTAAATCCCTGACATTTTCAGTAAAGTACAGATTTTAGTACTTTTGTCCCATCTGGGATTCGAACCCAAACTCTCGGAGTCAGGCACCTTATCGCCAACACACAAAGTCAGCCATCTAACCCACCCAGCCACCACAGCTTCCAGCAAGAAGCCCAGAAATATTATCTGGTAATGAATCGACACGCCCAAAATACCTGCTTTCTGTTTCATACAGTTTCCATTCATCACAACTTACTTTAATCAGTTTAGAGCAGAACAAGAATATCTTTCACATACAGGAATAGCCAAGCTGTTGGCAGTGTTTATGATTCGTGTAACAAGTGAGCCGTTTCTCACTGCCGACCAGTTATGGGAAGGTAATTAGCTCTCGGAAATGGTGAATCATGGTAAACTGTGAGCGGGGTCAAGGTAGCGTGCTTTATGCTTGCTGTCTGGTCTCTCCCATTATTGGGCGGTGGAGTAGCCTAGTGGTTAAACTGTTAAACTGCCGAAGACCCGGGTTCGATTCCCCACATGGGTACAATGTGTGAAGCCCATTTCTGGTGTCCCCAGCTGTGATATTGCTGGAATATTGCTGGAATACTGCTAAAAGCGGCATAAAATCCAACTCACTCACTCACTCTCTTATGTGCTGATTCTTGCCAGAATCTTGTGATTCTTCCGCTTTTGTTATGGAGCCTTCTTTGATGTGACTCTAAGAATGTGTAAAGTTGTTTCAATACATGCTTTTCGGGACATGCATGCATGCACATACAGACAAACTCGCTCGCAATTCTTGGTTTTTAAATTGCAACTATGTCCTTCTCACTTTCTCTCACAGTCACTCACTCACTCGCATAATGACCCTAAAAAACGACCTCCCAACTCACTCAAAATGCAAGTCACTCACTTATTCTTGTAAAGACCAAACTACCTTTCAGCTCATTCACTCACAATGCCACTCACTCACTCGCTGTTAGGTAGCTAAATAATATTATTAATCAATGGCTGTTATGAACATGAAACTATCAATTTTAATATTGTCACAATCAGATGAATTCATAAGTAGGTATAATAAGACACAGAATCTATCATTTTCAACAATCCTCTAAAGACATAACGACATTACTCTCACTCACTCACTCACTCACTCACTCACATAAATACCCCTTTCAACTACCTTCCAATTCACTCACTTTGCAAATCACGCACTTGCTCTGCAAATCACTCTGCAGGTGACCCACCCTACCATCCACTCATTCACTCACTCTGTTGCTGACTTACTCACACACTCACTCTTTCACTCACTCACTCACTCACTCACTCACCCTTTTCACTCACTCAGCAACTCACTCAGTCGCTCAGCAACTCTCCCACTCACTCAGCAACTCACTCACTCACTCAGCAACTCTATCACCCACCCTTCTCACTCACTGAGCAACTCATATTACTCAGCAACTTGACCCGTGAAGATCTTGGTAGAATAGGTCTTCAGCAACCCATGCTTGCCACAAAAGGCGACTATGCTTGTCGTAAGAGGCGACTAACGGGATCGGGTGGTCAGGCTCGCTGACTTGGTTGACACATGTCATCTGTTCCCAATTGCGCAGATCGATGCTCATGCTGTTGATCACTGGATTGTCTGGTCCAGACTCGATTATTTACAGACCGCCGCCATATAGCTGGAATATTGCTGAGTGCGGCGTAAAACTAAACTCACTCAACTCACTCAGCAACTCACTCACTCACTCACTCTGCAGCTCTATCAATCAGCAGCTCACTCACTCCACCACATACTCAATCACTCACTCACTCACTCACTCCCTCCACAACTCACCTTGCCACACACTTCTTTACCAGGTTCATTCAGAGGTGCATCTATGTAACTGGATTTTCCCCTCTCCCCAGATACAAGAAGAAAGTGGAGCTAAGGTGCACTTCAAGGAAGAAAACGCACTGAGTACGCAAAAAGAAGAGGAACGGACTGTAGTGATCCGCGGCACCTCGGACGCTGCTCAACACGCAGAGCTACTCATACGCAGAATCATTGCCGAAATGCCTGACATTTTCACAGAAGAAGTCCGAGTCCCGGGCTATTGCCTGGGCAGGATTATAGGTAAGTGACACCCAAGGAAACTTTTCTACAATTATTTTCTCTTAAACTCACTGAATTTTCCTTCATATGTGATTAAGGAAATGGAGAGTGGTGGTCCGATTACTTGATTTGAAAATTTCATGTCGAACTTTCTGGAACCCTTGTTTTCATAAACAATATTTTTTCACAAAGTTGGTTTTGTCTGTTACATTTCATAAGCATTACAAGCTCGTTTCAAGTCATGATTGAATGATCTTAAAGACTCCAAGAGTTTATGTTTAACATACTAGTCATCCTTTAAAGAAGTGAAATTTTGCCAAAATCACCCCAAAAGAACTACATGCGGGGGATTAACAAATTTCATAAATGGGCTTTTTTTACATTTGATGACCAATCATCAATTATGAGATTTTAACCAATTCCCAACACTAAAATGGAGAACCCACTGATTTGAAAATTTCATGTAACTTTAAGTATCCTTTACATTAATGGATTTAGTGTCAACATTTAACTAATTTTGAGTTACAATTGTAGTACAGTCATTCTAAGCTGATTTCAAACAGATTATAATAGTAATAATAATGCTAATATTTGTATACTGCCAATATCCAGCTCAGCTGCTCAAAGGCGCTTTGTTTTCCCTCGATCACTGGATATCAATCTCAAACGGCACATTGTATTATCAATCTCAACTCCTTGGGGAGATTACTGGTTAGTGGTGTGGTGACATGCATCTGGCAGCTGTGGCCCTTATATAAATACTCTCTCCTCTATATTTAATAATGTTCAGCAAACTTTCCCATGATACACATGGTATCATCACTATTTAATACTGAATTATAAACACATGCTTACGACATAGTCTGTACCACCAACACTGCTTTTGAGGATTTTTTTTTTGGGGGAGTATTAAAATGGACTCCGTCCGTGCGTCCGTCCGTCCGTCCCTGCTCATTTGTCTTTTCCGGAGCAGAACTCTAAAACCATTCAATATTTCTTCACCTAACTTGGCACATAGATAGATCTGGTGGTGTACTGGTGCCTTTTGGTAGTTTTGGAATTCTGAATAAAATATTTTTGGCATTTCCATGGCAACAAGTTTGACTTAGCCTGAAATTGGTGGTTGTGCTCTTTTCCGGAGCTGAACTCTAAAACCGATCACTATTTCTTCACCAAACTTGGCACATAGATTGGTTTGGTGGTGTACTGGTGCCTTTGTGTAGTTTTGGAATGCTGAATAAAACATTTTTGGCGTTTCCATGGCAAAAAGTTTGACATAGACTGAAATTGGTGATAGTGCTCCTTTCTGGAGCAGAACTTTAAAAACCTTTCAATACTCTCCTTCCACTTTTCTATATACACACCTTAATATTTGACATAATCATAACTCGTAGACATAATCATGAAGAGTATTTTGCCATTGCGGGGGATATTGATGACTTTGTCTTCTTGTTTTAATGTTTAAATTTTTTAAAATAATTTTTAACTATTATGATAATCAAATAAAGAATATTTATCACAACTGAGCTAAAAAGGTGAGGATTGTTCAAGGAGAATCCAGAATATCAAGATATATAAGTGAGCCCTTGAGGCAAGATGTATTTTTCACCATACAGTGGAAGCTCTCAAAACCGGCAGCCCTCCAATCCGGCATGCTCTCAATGTCTGCACTAGAATTTGGTCCCTCCAGAAGCTAGTTAATTTATGATCAATTACACGCCCTCTAATCCGGCGTCAGTGTTTTCCGTATTTCGGCACCACAAAAAACGCACAACTGACTGTTGGTACTGTAATTAACACTCTCTAAACCGTCATCCGGTATCTCGGCTCTCCTGTTGACTGGGTGAACATGTATTAACAACACAGTGGATTACCATCAGCATTCTGCTCATTAATGTTGCCTGATAAAAGGAGTATGGATTAGTCCTAAGTAGGTGAGGTAAATTGGTGAGTGACATGTGTCACTTGTATTATAAATTAATTGTCGTGTCACAATTTGTCAGTCGCTACCGTGTCAAGATGGCTAGACCAGTCAAGCGGGCTAAATTGCAATTAACTCTTGAACAGAAATATGATGACTATCAACATGTTGGTCAGTCGTATTTTACGGCACACCGAAGATTATTCTTAGGTTGAAAAGGGAAAAGTTCTCTAAACCAGTACGCCCTCTATACCGGCACTTTTTACTAGACCCAATGAATGCTGGTATCGAGGGCTTCCACTGTATATATTTACACAGGGGTGGAAATAACTTTAAAATTGCTAGTGTATTCCGGTACCGTGGCAAAATCACTTGCCCTGATAATTTGTCCACTATACTGGCCGATTTTCTTGTTGATTTTTTAAATAAACCACATAATAAATATTGGAAAGTCAACTGGACACCAGTACAGTGTGATATACAAATTTGCTTGCCCGACAGAAAAAAACACTGGACTGGGGCGTCGGGCAATGGGTTATTTCCAGACCTGTTATACTGTGTTTATTACTACCTGTGCTGTACCATAGACAGAGATGCCAACCCTTACGCTTTGGGCGGAACTATTACGATTTTGACCATTAAATTACGCCATTACACTTAATCTGCGAAAATTACGATTTTCGTTCTACGAAAATCAATAAAGTGGAAACAATTTCACAGGGAAGTGTTTTGTAACGCACCGGTACAGGGGTTCAGAAATGGTCATACTCTTAGAATCGCGCTCATTCCAATTCCAAGAAATTAAAGTATTTTGTGTCACATGACCAATAATTTTCGATGTTTGGAGCTTTTATATGATTGGTCACGTATATTTCTGTCTAGAATATTTCCTATTCATGTGAATAAACCTTCTTACAAGTAATTTTTATAAAATTATCAACTTTCACTAAGTATTTGTTTTTAAGTGTTACACTTTTTTAGGCCCAAATTACACTTTTTGACCTCCAGAACTACACTTAGGCCCAAAATAGGGTTGGCATCTCTGCAATAGACATGGACATGTTCAGGTTTATAATAGTATATTACCCCATGAAACCATTAAACTATGACTTTTTACATGCTGCGCCCTTGTAATGGGCCTCCAGTCATAAAACAAAGGAGTTAAAGCATGACGATGATCAGAGACCAGGTGGTGATTTAGAATATTGTTTTAAAAAATATTTCCTCAAGTGCAAACTTCTTTCATTACCAGTGGTAATTCAGTATGAACATAACAAGGCCCAACGAAATTCATAATATGACTGGGTTTATAAATACAGTCAAATCCCGATGAGTCGAATGCCGGTGTCTCGAATATTATGCATAACTCGAAGTCGGTCCCGACCATTCCCTGTTATAGTTGTCATCATTTGAATACCGGTTACACGAATTCGTCTCATAAATACACACGATGACTTCGAGAAGGAAATTTGGTCCCATGAGATTCAAACAACAGCAATCTTGTATACATAAGCCGAAGTCAGTCAATGAGAAGTTGATTGGTGTAGCAAACTGATCCAATTAACAAACCAGCGCGGCTCACACCTTTCCGCCATTGACGGGTGAGTTCAAAAGGCAGATTAGTGATTTTATGGAAATCACTGTCTGTGCTAATCAGACTGGAACTGATCAGGTGCCCCTATTAGTGATATGGAAATCATTAGATAAACAAATGCTTAGGTGGAGGAATTAGGACTGGATCATCTTTTTCTACCCTCATAGACATACCTATGTCTCGAATACATCGATGAGTCAAATTTATTACTTGGTCCCCAGCGATTCGACTCATCGGGATTTGACTGTATTGCTGAAATTAATTCTCAGATTCCTAAGTTGGATAGGAGTAGCCCTTAAAATCTGCTTAGTCTGCTGAAGTGTTGAGCAAAACTTTCAGATATTATATAGAACAAACTTTATGGATAACAACTTCTTTTTATTCGTGAGTGCGACGTTTCGATACAGATTCTTGTACCGTTGTCAAGCATAATGGAACATGAAGAAGGGGGAAGTGTATATATACTGGATGTAACAATGTAACAAAGAAAACAACATAATTAACATAATTGGCTAGGCAGAAAGCTGATGAAGCCAGAGAGTAGACAAAGGACAGGCGTGGAAGCCAATGATGTACAAATAATAATGAGATGTTTATACAGCAGAGTTTATACAGTAGATTGGGCTTGGTGGATGAGTGCATCATAAGCGGATGGAATGAAGTATCCTTGGTCTCGGTTGATGGTGGGCTTTTGGCGTTTGATGTGATGTTTAATAAAAAAGAAGTTGTTATCCATACAGTTTGTTCTATATTGGACTTCCCAACTTCTAAAATGCCACCCAAAGAACTTTCATATATTGTTGTGAACCTGTCTTAATGTAGCAGTATTAAATACAGTCAAATCCCGATGAGTCCAATCGCTGGGGACCAAGTAATAAATTCGACTTATCGATGTATTCGAGACATAGGTATGTCTATGAGGGTAGAAAAAATGATGATCCAGTCCTAATTCCTCCGCCTAAGCATTTGTTTATCTAATGATTTCCATATCACTAATAGGGACACCTTATCAGTTCCAGTCTGATTAGCACAGACAGTGATTTCCGTAAAACCACTAATCTGCCTTTTGAACTCACCAGTCAATGGCGGAAAGGTGTGAGCCGCGCTGGTTTGTTAATTGGATCAGTTTGCTACACCAATCAACTTCTCATTGACTGACTTCGGCTTATGTATACAAGATTGCTGTTGTTTGAATCTCATGGGACCAAATTTCCTTCTCGAGTCATCGTGTGTATTTATAAGCCGAATTCGTGTAACCGGAAATCAAACGATGACAACTATAACAGGGAATGGTCGGGACTGACAGGTACTTCGAGTTATGCATAATATTCGAGACACCGGCATTCCACTCATCGGGATTTGACTGTAGTTTTATCCGAAAGGCAAGGATTGCAGAGTAGCCAGATTTAAGTAAAACCGGAGTAAATACCGAGACAAGATGAGGAAGGCATTGACAGATTCTGTATTGCTTGTTACTCCCTTCTGGTAGGCATGTGTGTTAAAGACATGCACATGTTTATAAACCGTCGGCGCCACACAGGTCTCAACTCACACCTGGGTACCACATGCATGGAACTGTTTCACACATGAGGACGACAGCCCCATGTGATTCGGCAGCAGGCTTCCATCAGTGGAAATATTTGTTTGCTCCATTACAGGATGCACCCGCGAAGATCTGTGTGAGAATTGGTCTTCAGGAACCCATGCTTGTCATAAGAGGCGACTAACAGGATCGGGTGGTCTGGCTTGCTGACTTGGTTGACACATCGTATTCCAATTGCGTAGATCGATGATAATGCTGTTGATCAGTGGATTGTCTGATCCAGACTTGATTATATACAGACCGGGGCGGTGGGGTAGCCTAGTGGTTAAAGCATTGGCTCGTCACGCCGAAGACCCGGGTTCGAATCCCCACATGGGTACAATGTGTGAAGCCCATTTCTGGTGTCCCCCGCCGTGATGTTGCTGGAATATTGCTAAAAGCGCAAAACTAAACTCACTCACTCCTCACTCACTCACTACAGTGTAAAACCAAACTCAGTCAGTCAGTATATACAGACCGCCGCCATATAGCTGGAATATTGCTGAGTGCAGCTTAAAACAACAAACAATCCAATCCATTACAGAATTTGGTTTTTGTGATGTGGTTTGATGGGCCTGCTGGATTCACCTTAGGACCAGATCATATTTTGCTGACAGTGTATTGAGCAGTAGAAATGTTAGCACAATCTATTGAACATAGAATAACGGAAGCATAAAATACTGAACATCTTATGTTTCCGTTATCGCAAGTGAGTGAGTTTAGTTTTACGCCGCTGTTAGCAATATTCCAGCAATATCAATGCTGGGGACGCCAAAAATGGGCTTCACGCATTGTACCCATGTGGGCCATCGAACCCGGGTCTTCGGTGTGACGAGCGAATGCTTAAACCACCAGGCGTGAGGTAAGGTGAAATTGGGTTTTACGTCGTGCTTGAGAATATTTCGCTCATATGACGACGTGCATGCGTGTGTATGTGTATGTGCGGCTGCTTGTACTAGCCCAGACTGAAGCTGGTTTTATAGTGCTAGCCCACTGAGATACCATGCCACAGTGAAGCAAGAATACCCCACTCAGACACATTATACTGACTCCGAGCCGACCAGTCTTTGATGTACCAATTAATGCCGAGCGCCAGGCAGGGACCAACAAGTACCATATTTTAACGTCTTTTGGTATGACGCGTTCGGGGATCGAACCCACGACCTTCCGCACTCCGGGCGGACGCTCTAACCACTACACCACGGAGGCGGTCTAAACCACCAGGCAACCCCACCACCCCGTTTCCGTAATAAGATAACACACATATAGAGAACATACATATGGGAGTTATAATTAGTATTGTTTTGACACACATCAATACAATCAGAGGACCAGAGGATTTTTTCGTCTGAAATTTGTCTTAGTGGTCAAAGGGGAATAACTCTGTCAAGACTAATGCCCATCTCTGACAATTGAAACATGCATCTTTATATAATGTTCAGTTTTTGAATAGTTACTTGAACTTTATTCAAACAGAGTCTTTTTGTTATTTCAGGACGAAATGGCGAGAACATCAGGCAGATGTCTCGTACATCAAAAGCCAAAATCTATATTGACCGAACCCAAGACGCATATGGCAGAGACGCCCCTCGAACTGTCGCCATAACAGGCTCGAGAAAACAAATTGACCTTGCCAAGGTTTGTGTTGAGTCCACTTTATTGACCCAACTTGTACCAGACACAGACCAGGGTAGCCTTGTAATACAAGCAGAAGACCTGTGTACTGTTTTTCTCATCTGATGGATGCTACGCTTGAATTTATCTTTCACACTTGCATTTTTTTATTTTCCTGTTTTCCCCATAGTCTGTTTGCAGTGAAAACATACCGATGAATTTCACTTAAACAAAAAAGTAAATCAAATAAAGTGAAATTAAGATTGAGAATCCTCATAATTTTACCTTGCCAAAGGAACATTTAAATCTGAGAGTTTTATTCAACTTATTCAAACAGACAATAATTGAGTTAGTGGGTGCTTATAGTTTTAAGCCGCTTTTATCAATATTCCAGCAATATCACGGCCGGGGTCATCAGGGTACCAAAGTCTTGCTGAATGAGTTATTGACTTTGTTTAACATTCATACGTTTCCTCTGTAATTATTTAATGTAATAATGAGTGATGACAAACAGGGGAAGTATTGATCCAGCTCCCTAGGGAATAATAAAATAACAATTTCATGGATGAGAATTTTCTGCAAATTCTCTTGATTACTTGTCTTAAGAGGCGACTTATTGGGTCTGGTGGTCAGGCTCACTGACTTGGTTGACACATGTCATTGTATCCTAATTGCACAAATGGATGATGATTTCCAGAAACGACCTGTCAAGATCAGGGTTTGAACTGGTCTTCAGTAACCCATACTTGTCAAAAGAGGCGACTAACAGGATCGGGTGATCAGGCTCACTGTCTTGGTTGACATATGTCATCTTATCCAAGTTGTGTAGATCAATGCTCATGATCTTGCCACCTGTATTGTCCAGTCAAGAGTTGATTATGTACAGATCGCGACCATATAGCGGAAAACTTGCTGAGTGTCGTGTTAAACAACAAACAAACAAATACTGGAATTATAGAAGATGAGTATGTTTCTGTTATCAATTCTAACCCGTGTATTCACTCACTTGCTCATTGACTGGATGAAGTACATGCTAACGTGAAGCAATGTTGGGCGTGGAGAGTCTTGGATGGGTGACTGTGTGTGGCAGCTTGACTCCTGAGAGTTTCTAGGACTTCAGTCCTGCCCCGCTATAAAGCCCCACGTGACACATGTGGTCTCACCTTAAGTAAATGAGTTTGTTCATGAATTGCTTCTGTTCACCAAGCTGTGAATGGGTACCCAGTGGGATAAGTCATATGACTGTTAACCTTCTATCACCTCAATGGCAGCTTGGGTTATTTAATGCGTTATTTGAGCATGCACAAGTGTGTGGAAACAGGTACTCTATAAATAGCCATCGTTATGTCTATTATCAGGGTCTGATAGGAGAGAAGGTGGAAGAAGAGGAAACGTTCCGTGCTAAGGCGGCCGTGTCGGCGGCTAATCAGGATCAGAGAGGAAGAGAGAAACACAAAGATGAGGCAGGACAAGCCCGCACACTGCAAGGAGCAGGTAGGAAAGCTTTTCATTGGTTGGGCTGAAATGTAATGAAATCTGATAGGTCCATATTCAGTCAAGTTCCTTTTGATGGGATTTGTTACAGTTTCAAAAAGAAGTATATGTCAGGTTAGATGCGAAGTTTCAGTCAACAGGATCAGTGTGTGTATTTTGTACCAAAAATTGGGTATTACATAGCCATGATTCTGAGAAAACTGAAATTAGGTTATATGCATTTCTAACCCTATTCTCTTCCCACAGAGGTTACTTCTCATATCTTCCTACGAACCTCTGTTCTAATACGGCCACATTTCCCGGTTCTCGTAAAATCCCCTAGCGGCAAAAGGTCGCAACACGAATTATCTCCCTTCTTTCTATCCAATCAGAACACGTGTTACATCGACTTAGATTCAACTTGACTAACACAAGCAAATGTGGGGCCACAAATATCCCCCATCTGCCGGGGACTTGTGTTGATGTTACACACAAGATGTTTAATGGCTAGCTTGTCTGTTGTCAACGAGGGCGATGGAGACGCCACTGATCCGCCATAACATGACTGAGTTCTGTCTAGAAGAAACGTTTGCGCATCGCGCAAAGGGAAGAGGTTTAGTTTTCTCGAAGCATACGGAAATTACCGAGGCCTTGCGAATGATAACTTTTGAAAGAGCGTCGCTGATTACACAACTAAATCTGATTGCCTCCAGTCACGAGTCTTGAACGCTCACACCATGAAAGGGCCGTATTAGAACAGAGGTTACGTAGGAAGATATGACAGGAGTAACCTCTGTGGGAAGAGAATGTTCTAACCCATTTCCTATTTCAACAAAATCATCTCGATGCAAGACCTTCAAAATGTGGACAGTTGACCTCAAAGTGAATCAGATCTACATCTGAATCATTCTGTGATCCTAACTTGGAAGAGCTTGGGTAAAACTGTGACCTTGACCTTGACTAAGTCTCTCCATACAAGATGAAGTAATTGATTGTCACCTGGAAGGATGCTGTTTATGTTGTTGTTTCAGTTGTGAAACCAGAGGCTGCGTGGGAAGAGACAAAGAAGGTTCCTGATTGGCCGGAGCAGAAGGACTACCTGGAGGTGTATGTGTCGGCAGTGGAGAACCCCAGCCACTTCTGGATCCAGATCCTCAGCTCCACCGCTCTACAGCTGGACCGAGTCACCGAGGACATGACGCGATTCTACACCACGGACGAGGCAACCAGGGTAGGTGGGGGATACAGGGTAGGTGGTGGGGATACAGGGTCCTCAGCTCCACCGCTCTACAGCTGGACCGAGTCACCGAGGACATGACGCGATTCTACACCATGGACGGGGCAACCAGGGTAGGTGGGGCAGGGGATGTTTGAACCAGGGTTTGTTGGGCGATACTGATATCTGAACCAGGGTTTGTTGGGTGATACAGGAATTTGAACCATGGTAGGTAGGGGCAGGGATATCTGAACCACGGTTTGTTGGGTGATATGGATATTTGAACCATGGTAGGTAGGGGCAGGGATATCTGAACCTCGGTTTGTTGGGTGATATGGATATTTGAACCATGGTAGGTAGGGGCAGGGATATCTAAACCACGGTTTGTTGGGAGATACAGGTATTTGAACCATGGTAGGTAGGGGCAGGGATATCTGAACCAGGGTTTGTTGGGAGAAGATACAGACATTCCTGAACCAATGTATGATAACATAAAGGCCAAAAGATTGTGTTTTGGAAAACACGAAGTTGTTACTTACATGGTCTAAAGCCAGTTGAAAAGAATTTGAAGGTGAAAACAACTTAGGAGAAAGAAAAATCTAGTTTTTGTGATGAGGTTTGTCCCAAATGAAAATGTGTGTTCAGTTACTAGTGTAGGGGAGGTAACTCCGGGTGCCTTATCATCTCTGACAGTCAGACTTGACTTTTCCTCAGAGCTTTAGAACACTTGTTACTGAGTGCTGTGATTTCCTGGCTGTACTAGCATGAATTCATACCCACTGAGCTGAGATTTTTGCTGTTGTATACCTGCTTCAGATATTTTGTTCATATAATACAGGCGGAAATGGTATGGATGAAAGATTGTAGATCCAAAATAAATACACTCAATCTCGTCCTTGTAAAGGCCAGGGAACATTGGTGGCCCTGTCTCAAAAAGTTCTCTAGTACGCTGTGCAGAGGTGATAAACAGTTGATTGTTGGTTTTAACCCTACAGATTTTACCCTCAGTATTTACAATGGCTCAAAGTCACCCACCCACTCACTCAACCACTCAATCACTCACGCACTCAAACAACCAAGCACTCACTCAACAAAGTACTCACACAACCAAGCACTCACTCACTCACTCAACCTAGCACTCACTCACTCACTCACTCAATCACTCACGCACGCACTCAAACAACCAAGCACTCACTCAACAAAGTACTCACACAACCAAGCACTCACTCACTCACACAACCAAGCACTCACTCACTCACACAACCAAGCTCTCACTCAACCATGCACTCACTCTCACAACCAAGCACTCACTCACACAACCAAGCACTCACTTACTCACACAACCAAGCACTCACTCACTCACACAACCAAGCACTCACTCACTCACACAATCAAGAACTCACCCTCAATGGTATTTGTCATACATGTCATCAGCAACACAAACAATCATTCCGTCTCATTCCAAATGTGTCTCTCCTTTCAGGATTGCCAAATTCCAGACGTGACAGTGGGGGATATGGTTGCCGCGCCGTTTGACCAAGACCCGTCGTGGTATCGGGCCCGAGTGGTCGGGTTCGAGACTGACCGGGCTGACCTGTACTATGTCGACTATGGTGACAACTGTTGGGTGTCTCGAGACCAGCTCAGACAACTCCGCTACGTATTCCTGCTGACTGAATGAGACACTGACCCTGAGAGTTTCAAGTAAACTGCTGTTAAATACTGCTGTCGTAAGATCCCAAATGGTTGGTTGGTTGGTTTGTTGTTTAATGCCGCACTTAGCAATGTTCCAGCTGTATGGCGGCAGTCTGTAAATAATCGAGTCTGGACCTGACATGTGGCGACTGGATGGATAAAAGGATGGATGGATGGATGGCAGGATGGATAGATGGCAGGTGGATGGATGGCCCCAATAATGGATGGATGGATGGATAAAAGGATGGATGGATGGATGGATGGCAGGATGGATAGATGGCAGGTGGATGGATGGCAGGATGGCCCCAATAATGGATGGATAAAAGGATGGATGGATGGATGGCAGGATGGATAGATGGCAGGTGGATGGATGGCAGGATGGCCCCAATAATGGATGGATGGATGGATAAAAGGATGGATGGATGGATGGCAGGATGGATAGATGGCAGGTGGATGGATGGCAGGATGGCCCCAATAATGGATGGATGGATGTCTAAAAGGATGGATGGATGGCAGGATGGATAGATGGCCCCAATAATGGATGGATGGATGGATAAAAGGATGGATGGATGGATGGCAGGATGGATAGATGGCAGGTGGATGGATGGCAGGATGGCCCCAATAATGGATGGATGGATGGATAAAAGGATGGATGGATGGCAGGATGGATGGATGGCAGGATGGCCCCAACAATGGATGGATGGATTGAATGATGGACGGCAGGATGGATGGATGTGGTACACCCAAACAGAACATTGTTTATTATTTACTCAACCATTTGATTAAACTCGCCACTCCCTTTATAGTTGTATTGTATGCTCCTGAACTCCTAATGTATTTTGTTGTTTTTACAGACCTGATTTCCTAAGCCTACCATTCCAAGCTATTGAGTGCAAACTTGCCAATGTAAAGCCCAAAGGTAAGACTAATTGTTAACTGCATTTCCGTCTTTAACTGACTTTTGTTACAAAACTGGGACTCTGTGTCCTTGTGATAATTTCACAATTAAGGGAGATAACTGCGGGCACCTTAGGCAAACAAGTGAGTCATGAGGAAAAGGGGTTTAGTGTCACCATCAAGATGTTTGATCCGTGAGGGTCTGGTTAGAAGGGGTTTTCAGCATTCCATGCTTGAAATAACTAGCAACTGAAGGGGTTGGTTGGTCAGATTTGTGTTTGATGCTCATGATGTCGATCACTGGACTTTGTTTGTTCAGTCTGTATTATTTACAGATCTCTGTCATATTAGTGGAATATTCCGTTCTATACCCTTAATGATGAGCACCAGGCTAGGTACCAACAAGTACCATTGTTATCGTTTATTGGTATGGCAGGGATCAAATCGCCTACCTATGTGTATGTGTATGATAGGAATGTAAAAACATTCACTTACAGTGTCCTCCCTCTAAAAATAATTACAGGTTTTATTTAAGTTATTGACTGTAGTCAGGTAGGTAGGTAGGTAAGGTTTTAGGGCGACTTTGGGCCTTAAAAAGCCTATATGCGCCCAGACTGTAGTAAGGCAGATTACGCAGAGTTACCTCCCTTCCCTTGTAGTTCTTGTCTGGTGTCTTTGAGAATGTAAATAAGTTTGACAAGTTAATATGGCAGATTACGCAGAGTTACCTCCCTTCCCTTGTAGTTGTTCTTGTCTGGTGTTTTTGAGAGTGTAAATATGTTTGACAAGTTAATATGGCAGATTACGCAGAGTTACCTCCCTTCCCTTGTAGTTCTTGTCTGGTGTCTTTGAGAGTGTAAATAAGTTTGACAAGTTAATATGGCAGATTACGCAGAGTTACCTCCCTTCCCTTGTAGTTGTTCTTGTCTGGTGTTTTTGAGAGTGTAAATATGTTTGTCATGTTAATATGGCAGATTACTTTATCATTTCTCTTACTCACTATATAGACATTTAGTTGAAACAATAAAGACATTGTTGTTTTAATGTTCAATTTTAATCTGCCAATGATGTAAGTTTACCAAAACTGTAGTCAGGCAGATTATGCAGAGTTACCTCCCTTCCCTTGTAAGGAATCTCTAGTCAACGAAGGTTGACTGGTTGTTCTTGTCTGGTGCTAAATTTTAATGAGTTGAATTACATCTGTTCATCTCAGTTATTACTGTATGCGAATGGGCCTAATTCTGTATGTTTATGTATGGCAGTACATAGCATTGGATTGTGAACATGTGAGGCATGTAGTTTATAGTTTAAACAATAAAGATTTTGTTGTTTTAATGTTCAATTGTAATCTGTCAATGACGTAAGTTTACCAAAATTTCCTTTGTTAGGAGGTGAATGGAGTGAGGAAGCTATCGAAGTTTTCGAGGAGCTGACTTACTGTGCCCACTGGAAGGTCCTGGTGGCTCGGACCATACGGTACGAGTCCCGCGGAGCGGAAATGGTACCCTGCTTACAGCTCTACGACACCAATGGAACACAGGTAAGTCGCAAGTTAATTAGCGATGTGCCTGGGGGTTAGTCCCTGCAGGGTCTTCAGTCATGCAGGATTGGGTGGTGAGACTCAGTGACTTGCTTGATGCATGGCGTCGTATCTCGACTGTTTGGTTGATGCTCATGACGTCAATCACTGGATTGTCAAGATTGTTTACAGATTGTTGTCGTATACCTGGAATCACACTCCGGCACAGCGATGACTAACATAACATCACTGCCACAGGCTAATTTGCATATCACGTGACCGGACTTTTCTCTTGCTTGTAATCAAACGCGCATATTCATAATAAGAAGAGACTGGACTCACGCAAGCTTTTTCGATACGCTCTTCACAATGTTTTACATTGTTACATATATATTTTTCCACAACTGCGACAGTAAGGTCTATGACAGTACATATTTAGATATCAAACTGGCTGCATCGTTTGCTCTCTGTCGGCTTCGATGATAGCAGGTGGAGCCGTACAACCTATGTAAACAAAGGATCGCTACGCAAATCGAAATAGTGTTACATGTTTTTGGATATTTTCTCAGTGAAACTGAACCATTCTATTAAAGATGTTTAGTTAGATGTGTAGACTCGTCAAAAATAAAAGAGTAAAAAGAATCTGTACATTATATTGAATGGACATTGCAAGATGTGACGAATCGTCACATTTTTCAATCCGTTACATTTTTCTGGCCTGTGGCAGAGGTACTATGCTGGCTTGCCGCATGGGACTCTGGGTAGGAGAGTGACCTGGAATGTAACTGTATCCTGCAATAGAAATGCTGTTATCAGGATTTGGATGCTTTTGTGTTTCCATAAATGATGACATTGATGCATCTGCAGAATAAAGCCAGTCACAACCCTTGGCCGAAAATATGTCATCAAATAAATAAACTTGCTTCCTTTGAAATTAGTCGCTTTAACGCAAAAGTTTTAACGCAATTTGTCGCGAAAACATATTTTGCATTAATTACATGTTTTAATCAATTTCATGATTTACTGTACATTTTCATATGTGAGTGAATGAGTGAGTATGGTTTTATGCCGGTTTTAGCAACATTCCAGCAATATCACGGCGGGGTCCCACCAGAAATGGGCTTCACACATTGTGCCCATGTGGGGAATCGAACCCGGGTCTTCGGCGTGACGAGCCAACGCTTTAACCATTGGGCTACCCCACCACCCTTCATATGTCACAAGTTTGGGGTGAAATTTAATCTAAAAACTGTATTGTATGCATCTGTTGTTATGGCTTCCATGTGTTTATTTTATGGCTTCCATGTGTTTATTTCAGGACCTAGATATTAATGAAGAGCTAGTAAAGAGAGGGTTTGCAGAGCAGGTAGAGCTGGACGCTACTGCCGCACTTGAAACAGACCTCACATCACAAGAGGTAGCGATGTCGAGTGCTGCATCCCAAACTATGGCTGCGAGTGAGTGCATGGCTCTGCATGGCAGCCATTTTGAATTTTAGTAACACTGGTTCACCAAGGAAACTGTCTTTGATTTTTCTATCTCATTTAATACAAATTTATCCAATATTTGCTCTTCTTTTAAAAATATCCTAAAAGTTAGTTAGGTTATCATTATTTTTGTTTCCCTTGGTTCTCCAGTGTTTAGTTTAGAGTCATCATATAAACATGCTCATTGTCCTGAACGGATCCAGGGTTTTTTCATAAAAAGGCTATATTGAAATTGCTGAAAGAATTTCGCTAAGGTCTCAAAAAAATCAATGTTTCTCATCAAATCCAGACTTTGTAAGTAAAAATGTATGTAATTGTTGTCTTATTTTCTAAAATATTAAATATTTCATAATTCTTAGGCTATCATAAATGTATACAACATGACTATCGCATTGTAAAGGAAAGGCAAGTCTGAATTAAGCCAAATATCTGAGAAGCAGAAAATTTGTAAGTCTCGACTGCAGAATGTGGGGAAAAGAAATTGACCCACTAGATTGAAAATGACCTCCAAAAATGATGAGAAACATTTCATCTTTATGGGGGTCCTGATGGACGTGCTTCAGATATTTGAAATAAGAGCCACACTCCCTGGATCCACCTGTGAATGTTCTCCAGTCATCAGTTTGAGAAATCTTTTCGAGTGTTTTATCTGTTGCGTGACGTTTCCCATGTTTTAGCATGGTATCAGTTCTTGGTCATGCTGTGCTAGAAATCATTCATCCGAGTCATCAGCTTGGGGTGAAAAACATCATCCTTTCATTGTTATAGTCTAGACCTTGTATCTCTATACTTTACAGCCTATTCTTTTTACTGTCATTTTTACCCTGAAAATCCAGGTTTGAATTGGTCGCCAACAACCCATGCTTGTCGTAAGAGGCGACTAACGGGATCAGGTGGTCAGGCTCGCTGACTTGGTTGACACATGCATTGTATCCCAATTGCGCAGATCAATGCTCATTCTGTTGATCACTGGATTGTCTGGTTCGGACTTGATTATTTGCAGACCGCCGCCATATGGCTGGAATATTGCTGAGTGCGGCTTTAAACAACAAAATAACAAATCAAACAGTTTTGTAATAGTGTCGAGAACATACTTGTTATAGCTTATTTCCAAGATGGAGAATTTCTCCAGGCAAACATCACATCTCACACTCCTGAATGCTACTTCCCTTCATGCAGTCAAGATAGTGTTCAGGAAATTAATTTACATGTTTACATGCTGTTTACTGATTTACATACTGTTTACTGATTTACATGCTGTTTACTGATTTACATGCTGTTTACTGATTTACATACTGTTTACTGATTTACATACTGTTTACTGATTTACATGCTGTTTACTGATTTATTCAACATTAAACTGAAATGACATAATTTTAATTTTTAAAGTATTTGAATGACATTTAGAAGTCATACACATAAAGGCAATAATCTATGGATGTCAATTTGTTTATTTTGAGGACTACGATGTTTCTGAGTATATTCTTACTCCATCTTGACATAATTGTTGTGATGTTTTAAGTTTAACTGGATCATCAGAAGATATGGGCACACATATTTTTACAAAGGCACACAAAACCTGTGAAGGTCCGGGTTAGAAATATAACTGAATCAATGAATTTGAAGAAAATACTGTATTTAATTATTAACGGGAACAGTAATAGTATGTCCTTTTTATCCTTCATCATATTACCTTTCCTTTATCATGTTATTGCTTTGAATACAATGTTAAAATGAACCTAAAAAATATAAAATTTGAAAAAAAAAATTGAAAAATGTTGTGACTTTTCCCCATTTGCCTGCCAAGGGTAATAAGTTTAAAATGTTAGTTAACTACCTAGCACTGATTTCAAGAGTGCAGATTAAGGTGAAGGTCACTGAGCCAACACCGCCTTCCTCCTTGTGATCACCCTGCCGTCACCTGTGGTACAGAGGCTGAGCTGTTACTGGGGAGGTTTCCTTGAAATACCTGTGTTGTGTGAGACAAACACAGTCCTAGAGACATTTGTTATGTGTATGTTACATACAGGTTTATCTGTTGAAATGATACCAGTGCTGGTGCGAAATGTTTTTAATGAACCGTCATTCAGTTGCGAAATATGTTTGTACATACATTCCTCCAGTTCCTGTGTTCAACAACAAACATATCTGTCTTAACGGATTATGTAACTTCAGTTCAAGGTATATTCTAGCTTTACAGATTTTATTTTATGGCAAAATCAATACAGGTTCTTGTTTAAGAATTGAGATTATTTCTCCCAAAATAGACCATGGTATAAAGCCAATGCAAGTTATACAAATGTAACTGGTTATACTTGGTGTATTTTCACTGAAATGTATTTACACCTAATTCTGAAAATAGAAAATTTTCTAAAGAGAGAAACAAGAAGTCAGCGATGATGATGATGATGATTATTATGATGATGATGATGGTGATGATGATGATGATAGTGATGATGATGATTGTGATGATGATGATGATTGTGATGGTGATTGTGATGATGATTGTGATGATAGTGATGATGATGATTATGATGATGATGATGATGATGATTGTGATGATGATGATGATGATTGTGATGATGATGATGATGATTGTGATGATGATGATGATGATTGTGATGATGATTGTGATGATGATGATGGTGATGATTGTGATGATGATTGTGATGATGGTGATGATGATGATTGTGATGATGATGATGATTATTGATGATGATGATGATGATTGTGATGATGATGATGATGATTGTGATGATGATTGTGATGATGATGATGGTGATGATTGTGATGATGATTGTGATGATGGTGATGATGATGATTGTGATGATGATGATGATTGTGATGATGATGATGATTGTGATGATGATTGTGATGATGATTGTGATGATGATTATGATGATGGTGATGATGATGATTGTGATGATGATGATGATTGTGATGATGATGATGATTGTGATGATGATTGTGATGATGATGATGGTGATGATTGTGATGATTGTGATGATGATTGTGATGATGATGATTGTGATGATGATTGTGATGATGATGATTGTGATGATGATGGTGATGATGATGGTGATGATGATTTATGGTTATGATTTATGGTTATGATTTATGGTGATTATGATTGTTGATGATGATGATTTGATGACGAATTTAATAACACATTCCAATCATACTGTGGATTGATATTGATCACATGGATCATGGTTAAGATTGTGATAGTGCACGGGATATTGCAATAAAATACAAATTATGCTCATTAAGGGCAACAACTATCCTTGTTAATATACTTACCTCACATGTGGTATAGCTCCAAAGTATATTGCTTTCACCAGTTAAAGCCTACTTAAGTACTTTTATTGGAATTTCAAAGAAAATGGTTTTTTCGAAAAACCCAAAATTTTCTGTAGAACATTCACTTTTCAATATATTAAATAAGCTATCAGGAGCAGAATTTTGATCACATGCTGAAGTCTTAAGGGGCGGTGGGGTAGCCTAGTGGTTAAAGCGTTCGCTCGTCACGCCGAAGACCCGGTGTAACAGGCCAGAGTATACCCCTGTCCCAGACTATACCCGGGGTTAAACTTGGCTAGCCCAGACTATACCCCAGGTATAATCTGGGCTAGCCTAGTTTATACCCGGGGGTATATTCTGAACTAGGCCATAGTATACCCCCCTAGCCCAGATTATACCCCTACAGAAAACAAATGATTAAGGATACTACTATAATTTTATTGTACTTCTCACACAATTGAACACTGGTTACAACATTGAAATGGTCCGATACATTTTCCAGATACAAAGCATAATCAGTGTGAGTTTTCAAGCTGAAGCTGGCAGGGTACATCAGCCATTGCATTGACTGACCAACTGCACTGTAAATATAAATGTCACATTTTAACAGACTGGCTGTTGACATAACTTCTGCATTTGTTGCCCACACTCCATCTTGTGAAATTCCCGAATCTGTGATGTATTCATTGACATTTTGGTTCAGGAAATGTTTTAGTTCATCATTACTGTCATTGTTCATATGCTGAACCACTCGATCTCGGATAGTGCTGTGACTGTCTTCAGATCCTGTCAGGCTGTAACTGATGCAGATGAAGCAGCAGTTGCCGTCGCCTTTGGTTCTGTATGACCGCCGGGGTGCTGTCAAGTCTGTTGATCTTCCGTAATAAATGGGTTACGCAAAGTCGGAAATATCATATTGCAGAGAGGCACTCAACAAATGCTTAATAAATTTTGTATTATGCAGTAATGTAAATGAAATGCACCTCAAAATTCCTTTAAATGACACCAAGACCATTGCCCGAGTCACACACTCATATTGAGTGAATTGTCAACATAATTTTTTAGGGGTATAGTCTGGGCTGGTGTCCCCCGCCATGATATTGCTGGAATATCGTTAAAAGCAGCTTAAAACTAAACAACCATTATTGGCATGAGTAAACTACAAAGAAACAAACAAATCCGGAACTAGATTCTGTGACTTGGTGAATTGTGTTGATTGTTGCTAAATTTGGCATGATGCTACAAAGAAACAAACAAATCAGGAACTATGTTCTACTTGATAAGTTATGTTGATTGCTGCTCGTTATATCAATCATCAGATATTCTGGTTCAGTGTCAGCATTATACAGACTGTGGCATCAACAAGTTTAACATTACACAACAAACAAACAAATCCAGAAATAGCCCTCACCGATATAAATACCTCCACCAACAATGTCGGCCGAGGGCGTTACGCCGGCGACGCCGGACACACAAGCCAGTTCCGTGAGTGAGCATGTCCACCTGCCAGCCCACACATCGGTGTCGGAGTGTGTTGACTCCGGCTTGTTGACTGCAGTTGATCCTCTGCCTGGTCCGACACTGTAGCATCAGGCTGTCCAGTTAACCAGACCAGGAGATGTCGGGATTA